GTCATATTATTTAGATTTTATAGATGTACAGGGATATATTTCAGATGGATAGGCATTCTTCAAACTTTTCAAAGACTACAAAATATGGTATTTAAAATGTTTAAGAATTTAGAACTTTTCATGACAATGAGACACATCTGCTCCTGGCAGCACCAGTCTACTTCAAGAAGATGATGGGCTTTTGTAGTATGTTAGGGAATCTTTAGGGTATATTCCCAAGAGTGGTATTGCTGGGTCCTGAGGGAGGTTGACTCCCAGTTTCCTGAGAAACCGCCACACTGATTTCCACAGTGGCTGCACGAGTTTGCATTCCCACCAACAATGGATGAGTGTTCCCCTCACCCCACATCCTCTCCAGCATAGGCTATGAAAAACGAAATCAGTACTGCGAGGGATGCTATCACCCACTGATACAAGGGAACGGATCTGATGAGAGTTTACCAGGGCCAGCCGGACTGGGACTGAACGAGGACGTGATCTAGACAGATTCTCGGAATTTGGCCGGATTCTCTGACTGTGGCTGGCCCGGGGTCTTTCTGAAAAGCCATTGACTATGACACTGGGACCTGTTTCCTCTGCATATGCTGGATTTTGGGGATCCAGTCTGTTTGGATGCTAGCCTTCCTGGACCTGGAGGGAGGGGGAGGGAGCTGGAGCTTCCCACAGGGCAGGAAACCCTGACTGCCCTGGGGGACGGAGGGGAAGGAGGGGGGGAGTGGGGGGAGTGGGAGGGTGTTGGGAGGGGGGGCGGAATTGGAAACTTTTATAATTTAATAAAATTTACTATAAAAAAAAAAAAAAGAAGATGATGAGCATTGAACCAACTCCTCAAGGAGTTGGTTAGCAGGAGTTGGTTAGCTATTTGGGTAAGAAACTGCTCTTTCTTAGACTGCTTGATGAAATGGACATGTAGGACCCGCAGAGAAATAAATGCTAAACTTGCCTAAAGGTGAGACAATTCTTCCGGGTTCCTGCTTCATGAAAGAGTCTGTTAGACATTCTGCAGGACAAAGAAAAATGTGACTGGCAAGCTGCCAATATAGATGGAACTGTCTTTGAAACTTCCTACTTCATGGAAAAGTCTGCTGAATACTATGGGCCAGTAGGCAAAAGATGGATACCCTAACAGTACAGAAGAAGTTTGGGTGACTGTCCAGGAAGCAAGTTGTCTCTTGCCAATTATAGAATTTTGGAAGTTGCTTACAATCACTTTCTGTTTTCTTAGGTAATATTATATCCTTCTGGAGTCTTTGATGGAGTTGAAGAGTAGATAGTTATAATATAGTTTTCCTCAGTTATGATAAAAGATAAAGTAGATGTAAGCATTGTAACTGTAATTCTTGCTTGATACCTGTTTTGTTATATGTAATTTTTCTATGTTAAAGTTAAAACCTTCTTTTTTATTTAAACAGAAAAGGGGAGGTGATGTGGGAGTCTCCTCTGTGTGCTGTGATTACCATGAATGAATAAAGAAACTACTTTGAACCTATGGCAAGGCAGAATTTAGGTAGGCAGGGAAAGCTAGGCTGAATGCTGGGGGAAAGGGTGGAGTCAGAGAGAAGTGATGGAGCTGCTGGAGACAGATGCTGGGAACTTTAGCCCATAAGCCGCTGTCACATGACAATATACAGATTAATAGAAATGGGTTAAATTAAGATCTAAGAGTTAGCCAATAAGAAGCTAGAGCTAATGGGCCAAGCACTGATTTAATTAATACAGTTTCTGTGTGATTATTTCAGGTCTAAGCTAGCTGGGTAGGTGGGAACCAACAAGTGGCTCACTGCCTCCAACAAATTATAGATGCAATGGCTGTGACTTTAGGACTACAAGAAAAAGGCAGAAAGAACCACAGTTTCATCCCTAAGTGAATCACTGAAATTTTGTCTGTAAACCTGGTGCTCACATGAACATCTGACTTCATTACTTTCTAAATGTAACATATCTAGTTACCGTTGTTTTGGTTATTAGTTGTATGTCCTGTCCCTACTTTTCCTCATTTAGAATATGGTATTACCTCATAGAACTATCACAAAGTCAGTCAGCTGATGATCTTTTTTTAGCTATGTGAATGAAAAGCTACAAGATACACAAGCCAAGGTCTGAGTGGCTGTGAAAAGTCAGACTTGGCAGGGAGAAATGGGAGGCCAACTTCAGAGGGGAATCTGAGTGAAGAGAAGCAAACTCAGGACATCAACAGGGACTTGCGGGCCCCCTAGAGATTAATGAAAAGGACCCAAGTATCCTGGAAGCCAGGTGTACTCCAATGGAGACCCCATCAGTTTTAGGGTTCTTAGGTAAGAACAAACATGAATGTAAGAAGCTGTGATCACCCTGGGTTCTGATGCTGGACAGGTCCCACACAAGAACCAGGATAACTGTTCAAAGCAGTGTACTGAGCAGCGACCGTTCTGTGTCTCTAGAGTATTTGACTCAGTGTCCTGGGCACAGGCTTTTGGGGATAGCTATGTCCATCCCACAGTTTGTTTCCTTCTAGGTTAAACAGGTTCACTTGTTCTATGAGAAACTAGAGATAACAATAGATATTCTTTTTTTTTTTTTGGTCAGGAAGCGCATGGACAAAGGTTGAGGACTCTCCCCGCCCCATGTCTTTTTCTTAAGAGAACATACGGAGGAAGCAGTTAGATAAGGGTAAAGTTTTCTGTGAATGTTAAAATGGTCATTAGAATATCTTGCTTTGTATAAAGTCTACCTTTTCCTGGCATTAAGAGCAGAGAAGAAGCTTTCCAAAAGTCCTCTTGCAGAGACTTCAAGCAAAGTTTGGGATGGGGAGAGGAGCTTTGAGAACAAAGCGAGTCATGTGACCGTATGCTCCAACCCCCACTTTAGCAAGCTCAGTGGTTTGAGACCAAACCAGAAGTCAGTCCACCATATCAAAAACAAAGAGAATGGATTGGATAAGAACAACATTTAAGTTACTCAAGTAACAAACAAAAGACTAAGAAACAGCACAACTAGAAGATTTAAGAAAGAAACCAAACACACTGTATAGATTATGGTTAGAATAAAACAAATGCAAACTTTATGAAGCAACCAGGTACATCTTAATACTGGATATTTGATGGTATCTGCTAGATATAAATAATATATTTTTCCTTGAGATGTAAAAGAATAACTCTTCCTAATATTTTTGCCCTAGTTAAGAAGCGTATAGTCAATAACTTCAGGACACTGTTTCATTCAAATTCTGGCCCAGAAGCACTACCCAAACAACATGGCAAAACCCCAAAGACGATGGCTTAGTGTGATTATGTGAATGGCTTTGTCCTTTTGGATCAATATACTAAAAGTCTTAGCCTTTTAGAAATATATTCAGAGAGATGAACAAAAAGTTCTCTGGGATGGATGTGAAAACAATACAGGGAGGGATGGGGTAAAGAGGTGGGTGGGAGAACCAATGAAAACATCATTCATTTTTTTAGAATATCCATTGTAAGTGCTAAAAGATTACACAGAAAGATAGGGAATTCTTCACCCCAAATATAAACATGGCAAAATGGTGAAAGATTTACTAAGCACTACTTTGTATATATAAATTCATGGCTCTATTTACTTTTTCCCTTTTTTTTTTTTAAAAAAAAGATTTATTATTTATTATGTATACAGTGTTCTGTCTGCATGTATGCCTGCAGACCAGAAGAGGGCACCAGATTTCATTGTAGACGGTTATGAGCCACTATGTAGTGGCTGGGAATTGAACTCAGGACCTCTGGAAGAGCAGTCAATACTCAACACCTGAGCCATCTCTCCAGCCCCCTCATGGCTCTATTTGTTAAGAACAAACACGAATGTTAATACAGCTTTGTTCAATTTACAATTTAGAAAAGGTGGGCTATTATTTGTGTCTCTGGTACTGGGGATGAACTCAGGGCCTTCTACATGTTAGCAAAGTGTTCTGTTACTGAGCTAACTCAACCCTCTGGGTCAAGTTTATATCAAGGCTTCTCCACCTTAATACTATTAATATTTGGGGTTATAAAATTCTTTGAGGGGCTGGAGAGGTGGCTCAGTGGTTAAGAGCACTGGCTGCTCTTCCAGAGGTTCTGAGTTTAATTTCCAGCAACCACATGGTGTCTCACAGCCATCTGTAATGAGATCTGGCGCCCTCTTCTGGCATGCGGGTATACATGGAGGCAGAATGGTGCATACATAATAAATAAATAAATCTTAAAAAAAATTCTTTGAGGAGCTGCCCTGGACACATAAATATGTTGAACAATATCCTTGGCCTCCACCTGAAAGCCAGAAGCATCCTTCAAGTTGCAGTGACAAAAATGACTCCAGATATTACTAAATGTCCTGTGAGAACAAATTATTGCAGATGGGTACCCCTGACTAATAGCAATATCTCAAGGTAGTGGTTTACACAGGAGCTGTGACTCCTTTAAGAGTGTTGTGGAATGCTGTGGACACTTCTCTGTCAGATGACTTATTGAAGCGAGGACAGGAGCCACACCCGCTGTGAAGTACAGAACTGAGTCACGTGTGACGTGTGAGATAAGTGAACTGAGATTCTCAGTTGAATTCACATAGAAACACACACTACTTTGTGTATATTTCTATTTGGGCAGAATTTCCCACAAATGCAATCATATTTTGGTTTGTCCAAAACTTTCATAGGAGGGCTGGAGAGATGGCTTAGTGGTTAAGAGCATTGCCTGCTCTTCCAAAGGTCCTGAATTCAATTCCCGGCAACCATATGGTGGCTCACAACCATCTGTAGTGAGGTCCTGGTGCCCTCTTCTGGCCTGCAGACATACACACAGACAGACTATTGTATACATAATAAATAAATAAATATTAAAAAAAACTTTCATAGGAGTTTATCACTACTCTGCAAAATCACTCTGGGCATAGCAACGTCCCTTATGGTGTTTGTAGGCAACAGTGTGCCTCGCAGCAGTCTGAAAGTTACAGGCTGTTGACCTGGTGAAAACAGGCCCACATAAGGACATGGCAGGATACCACACTGACTCAGTACATATCATTCTATTATAAATTAAATTAGTTATGTTTTACAAAAAGGGGTCATATGTTATTTCCACACTATGCCTGTGCAGAGGTTTTATTACTGGTAAAGTCATTTTGTGGTAATGGAGAAAACATCTTAAGATGTCTATTGTTGCTGGATATAATGGCACATGGCCATGGAACTAGAATTAGGGAGGTGAAGGCAGAAGGATCAGAAATTCAAGGTCATTCTTGGATACGTGGTAAGTTCGAGGTCAGCCTGGGCCATATGAGACCTTGTCTCAGAAAAACAAAGAAAAAGTCTGTTGTTAAACAGGAGCCCAGTTTGATGCATTTCAGAATCATGAACCTCAAGTGTTTGGGAAGCACCACTTCCTTATGAAGTCAGAGGTCACCACTGACATTAAGCCATCTTCTCTTGCCACCAATACACTGTGTGGACTTATGTTGTACCTAATAACTCAACAGTTATCTGAAGAGTTTCCTTCCTATGTAGATTCTCTGATGTCAAATAGCACAGAATTGCCCATTGAAGGTTCTTCCACCCCAATAACACGCACAGGGTTTTTCTCCTGCATAATTTCATGAAGGTCAAACAAGGCCAATGCCCTGTTTGCTTGTTCTGCCTTTGCCTGGGCCACAGGGATCTCTCTTGAATTTGAGTGTGGATTCTGAATAAGCTTTGAGCCCCGCCGACAGGGCTGTTCTCGCCTTCGGCTACGCCCATGTGGTTCTTCCTCTCTGTTGTGGGTTAGCTGATGTCGGATGAGGTGAGAACTCTGAATGAAACATTTCCCACACTGATTACATTTAAAGGGCCTATCGCTCCGTTGAGTTCGTTCTTCTTGACTCAAAGGAGGGTCACAGCTGAGGGTTTCTGTCCACTCGTGCTTTGTTAAAACCGGTGTTTGCTCAAAGATCAGCCTCTGTCGGCACTCATAGGGTTTCTCACCAGCGTGCTTCCGCTGGTGCTGGGCCAGGGAGGAGCTGTGTCTGAAGCCCTTTCCGCAGTGATTACACTCATATGGCCTCTCCTCAGTGTGAGTGCGCAGGTGCAAGAAGAGGCAAGTGGTCCGAGAGAAGGATTTCCCACACACACTGCAGGTGTATGGCTTCTCTCCAGTGTGCGTTCTCTTGTGTCGCCCTAGGGATGAATTCTGATTGAAGGCCCTGCCACAGTCCTGACACTCATAAGGTTTCTCTCCAGTGTGAATTCTCCTATGGACTGTAAGATGTGTACTGTGGCAAAAAGATTTCCCACACTCGTCACACTTATAGGGCTTATCTCCAGTGTGGATGCGCTCATGTTGAACAAGGGAGGAGTTCTGGCTGAAGGCTTTCCCACATTCTTTGCACATATAAGGTCTCTCTCCTGTATGAATCCTCTTGTGCACTGTGAGGTGTGCATTATGGTTAAATGACTTTCCACAATCAGTGCATTTATAGGGTTTATCTTGAACCTGACTTTTTGTGGGTTCTGTAATGGGCACAGTCTGATCAAAGTTTTTCTGGCTGCCACTGTCATCAAAGGGCTGTGTTGCTGGGGAGTCTGTATGCTGACTAACTAAACTTGGGTTATGTTTTGAGTTTTTAACTTGTGAGCCATCAGTACAGCCATGTTCTTTCCTAGAAATATCTGATAATAGATCTGTGCTTAAGCTAAGAACACAGGTTTCCTCAAGTCCAAGACTTTCATAGCTTTGACTTTGAATTGATATTTCCTTGGGGCTTTCCAATTGCCCTAAGTTACTCTGGTCCTTCTTGGTCCACAGGCAATCACTTTTCCGATCTACCTCTGCCATGGGATGACAAGAAACAGCCACTTTGAACCCATCCCTTTCTGTAATGGGCGATAGTTCCTTCTCATGAGGGCCCTGCTCCTTGAATGATGTGTGGTCTTGAGGTCCAAGAACCCAGCCTGAAAGAAGAACAAAGAGCTCCGAGTAGTTGAGGGAAAAACAAGGAGAGGTTCCTAATACCCTGGAACTTTGCCACTAGTTTAAGATCTTAACCTGCTCTGCTAAGTCCCGAGTCTCCTCTTGACACTATCCCTGCCCTCAACCGTAGTTTCACTCTGGGGGCATGCACAGGAAATGAATTAAAAATGTACCAGTTCCTTGCAGGATTTTGTTACAACCCATCACAAACCTAGTTCCCAAAAGCAACACTGCTTTCCATCTTACAATATGAAGTGATAAAATCTACATCAGCAGAGCTGATTTTTCCTAGAAGCTCCACAGAAGAATATAGGGGAGTCAGTAGAATAGCATCTTCAAATCTCTCCTGTTGTCTCTGTTGTCACATATCCTTTTCTTGCTATGACCTTCTTGCTTTTTATAATTACTCTTTTGATTACATTGGGCCCACCTGATAGACAAGTGATTTTAGGGATTAGGAATTAGACTTCATTGAAGACCATGCTTCATTTGGTTGCTCACCTTTAACATTAAATATGTGCATGCACGTGCACACACACACACACACACACACACACACACACACACACGCCTGAGTGTATGTGTGTGTAAAATGTGCATGCAGGAGCCCACTGAAGCCAGAGAGGGCAATGGATCCCTGGAGCCGGAGTTATAGGTTGTTGTGAACTAACCTGGGTGCTGGGAATAGGCCCAGGTCCTCTGCAGGAGCAGTAAATGCTCTCAGGTGCTGAGCCAGTTTTCCAGCCCATCCTTAGCATTCCTGAGGCCTCTTATTTGCTTAAGACACACATGAACGTGTTCATTCATTCAATATCCATCTTATCACACTAGTGACCAGTCAGGGCCTGGGACCTACAGATGCTAAATGTTCAAAACATCTGTCTCAGTGATATTGGAGGGATTTAGGGGAAAACCAAGAGTCTGGTCATAGGAGAAGAGCTGGAGAAACTGAGGCTTGCTGGGTACTAATCCCTTTACTGCCTTTGCATAGTACACAGGGGTTTTAGTAAAATCCAAGTTATTCCACACAAAATTTTATATTTGAAGACAATATGCTGAATGTGTTATACAGTTTATGGAAGTGTTCTTATTTAAAACAGCACTATGTATACTATATATACAAAGAAAATTAGAAACAGAAAAACAGTAGCAACATGACAATTTACATACATGTATGTCCACTGCAGCACCTTTTTTTTTTTTTTCCCCAGACAGGGTTTCTCTGTAACTTTGGAGCCTGCCCTAGAACTAGCTCTTGTAGACCAGGCTGGCCTTGAACTCACAGAGATTCGCCTGCCTCTGCCTCCCGAGTGCTGGAATTAAAGGTGTGCGCCACCACCACCTGGCTCAGCAGCACTATTCTTAATAGTCCCAAAATGGAAACAACTCCATGAATTGATGAATGAAAAAATGAAACATGAGTGTAGGGAACATAGCTCAGTGGTAGAGTACTTGCCTAGCATGATGAGGCTCTAGGTTCAATTCCCAGAACCACAACAAACAAACAACAAACAAATAATGGTCCATCTATTAAAAGGAGTATTTAGTCATAAATAGGAATGACGTGTGAATATACACAACAACATGTGGGAACTTTGAAAACATTACCCTGAGGAAAGGAAGCCAGACACAAGTGTCACAGACTAAGTCCACTGATTAAGAAAGGCCCCAAACAAGCAAGCCCATAGACAGTCCAAATGAATGGTTGTCAGGATCTAGGGAAGACGGTGGCGGTTGTTAGAAGGCAACTTTTGGGGTGAAAGCTAAGGCCTGAATGTTTAGGCTCGCCTAAGATGTGTGTGTTTACGTCCTAATCCCTGCTTTGATGGTATTTAGAAATGGGGCTTTCAGGAGTATTAGGTCTTGAAGGCATAGCCCTCATGATAGATTAATGTCCTTTTAAAATGGGACACTGGAGTCTCCCACTGCTGAGGAAAAGGCAGCTATTTATAGACGAGAAACGGGCTTTCATCAGGAACCAAATCAACTGTCAGCCTCCAGAGCTGTAAGAAATAAATGCCTGTTGTTTAGACCACCTAGACAGTGATGACATGTTCTGGAAGTGGACACTGGTGGTGCACACACAACCTGTGAACACACGCTGACCCCACTGGATTATACTGGTGGTGCACACACAACCTGTGAACACACGCTGACCCCATTGGATTATACTGGTGGTGCACACACAACCTGTGAACACACGCTGACCCCATTGGATTATACTGGTGGTGCACACACAACCTGTGAACACACACTGACCCCACTGGATTACAGCACAGGAGTTTTTCTGCTTTTGTTTTTTTTTGGTTTTCTGTTTGTTTTGCTGAACTGGGTTGTCACATCCAGGGCTTCATACATACAACTCCCCCCACCCCCCGTATGGTTTCTCTGTGTAACAGCCCTGGATGTCCTGGAACTAGCACTGTAGACAGTCTGGCCTCGAATTTACAGAGATCCACCTGCCTCTGCCTCTTGAGTGCTGGGATTAAAGGTATATGCCACCACTGCCTGGCTACAACCACTTTTATCTCTAATTTTAAATGGGAAAGTTTTATGGTAAATGAGTCTTAATAAAGTTGTTACCAAAATCCTTTCCTCCACCCTGGTTACCCTTCTGTGCACCATGCCAATCACTTCTGTGCTCTCCTTCCCTGCCTCCCATTCTCAATGGCGTCACCTCTTCCCTCAATTTGTTCACTGCTGGTTTCCTCACCATTCCTTTCAACATATCCCATGCTCCTTGGCTCATGCTGCCTTCTCTGCCTTTCATGCATCTCCAGACACCCACTGGCTTCAGTGTTATCTTCTAAAAGAGGCATTCTTGTGTATCCTGGAGGCACTGTCTACCCTATGCTTCTCATGCACATTTTTGTTTGTTTCGACCATCATCTCCTGATATTGTTAATCATTCCTCAGACCCCTAGATGACTGAGGCTGTTTTATTTTTGGATGCTACACTCCTAGCATCAAAGGCATTACGTGGGTGAGTCCTCAGGAATCTTTGCTGAACGGGCTCCTAAGCTGATACTATTGATACAGCCTCAGGCAAACCCTGGTCCAGACCAATACTGCCAGTGGGAAGGAGGTTGAAGAAGATCCAGTGTCAGAGACCTTAGGCCACTGCCGAGGGCTGAGCTGCTGTAACCAGGTCAGGCCAGCAACAGCTGAAAGCATCAATGCTGAATTCACCTGAGGTCCCCACAGCTCCAGCCACCCCATACCTCAAACAACCGATCCTGCTGTTTAGGAAGTCATAGTGTCTCCAGTGAGAAACGGTGGGAAGAGGAAGGTTGAGACGATAGTTCACCAAGTGAGGTCAAGTAACTATAGGAGGGAAACAGTAAGAAACAAAGCAAGATGCAACAGGAAGGGGGGGGTGTTTCACCTCCACGGGTTACCTAGCCCACCAAATCACATGGTTGCACTGGGAAGGGGTCATGGATGAGCATTCTTTTCCTTTAAAACAAAAGGGAAATTGCTGTCTTGTTGAAGTGTGGTAAGCCGAATGTGGCCCCTCAAGGACAGTCACATCCCAGTCCTTGGACCCTGTAAATGTGTGATGCTACATGGCAAAGAGGATACTGTAGATAAAATTAAGAATTAAAAAAAAATAGGATATTTATTTCTGTGTTTGTATATGAACATATGGCACATTTGCGCAGGGGTCTGAGGCCAGAAGAAGGCATCAATCAGATCCCCTGAAGGTAGAGTTATAGGTAGCTGTAACTACCTGACATGCGTACCTGACATGGACACAAATTCGTTGTTTTTTTTTTTTTTTTTTTTTTTAACAAAAGCAGAAAGTGTTCTTAACTGGTGAGCCATCTCTTCAGGTCCAAATTAAGACTCTTAAAAGTGTGCGATTATCTTTATATTCTAAATGTCACTAAAAGGCTCCACATTGGAAAGGCAGGTGAGACAGAGATGACCACGTGATGATGGAGACAGAGCTGAGGATGTGCTCATGAGGAAGGCCTCATGAGTCACGGCATCCGGGCAGCCTCTAGACACTAGGAGAGACAAGAACTAGAACTCGGCCGCAACTGCCAGGAGTCAGGCTTGAAGAGCCCCTTGGTCTCCTACCTCCACAGGTTTGAGAAAAGACATGAATGAGTCTATGGGCTCTTTTTTGCAGGGGGATGACAGGGTTTTACAAATGTAGCTGGGGCTTTCTTGAAGCGTTCTTGGGATTACAGGAATTACCTATCATAACCAGCCATATCTTTTTTCCCATCCACTTTGCCACAGTACTTTGCTACAGTAGCTGTAGAACACCTATATGAAGTATTAATGCAAAGTAGTTTCTGTTTCAACAGGAGGCCTTTAGTTTCTAGAACATTTATGATGGCTCAGATATTAAGTTCTTCAAACTCTCTGTAACAATTCTGATCCACACCTGCCGTGTGAGCCAAACAGGCAAGGCTCAGCTATTTCAGAACCTAGTTTCCATAGCAGCCTAAGCCTGTCAGTGAAAAGCATGTGTACGGATGAGGCAGGTTTGCTCCTGACAAGATAGCAAGAAGCAGCATTGGCAACAACCAATAAAAGAGGGAGAAGTGGGTCTTGCCGCAGACTCAGCCAACTGCGAGTGAGGGTCACAGCCCATCACAGAGGTAAAAGTGTTTCTCTGCAGCCTGGGAAGGCACCAGAAGCATTTGAGTGGGTGAATCTGCAGGCTGCAGCCAGACCATACTCATTTCAGCTGTCAGCATACCAGTGTACCAGCCCCATCTAGTTATGAAACTCAGACCTTTCCTTCCCATTCTCCCCAGTAAACAGGGCAGGACAAGGGCAAGTAATCCAGTCCTGACCGAAGAGTTTTGAGACAAGGGGTAGATACCTGGTGCTGCTTCTTGGTGCATCCCCACCACTTCCCTTCCTCTCACCTGGCTGGAGCTGCTGGAGCCACACTGTAACCCTGAGCAACACAGAACCATCGGTCCCAGCAAATCTCTAAGATGCCAAGGCAGCATGAGCACCAGCTAAGTCAGAGGTCCGGCTATTTAAAAGTCATACTTTCCTTTTCTTCTGAGCTTCTCTTAACATGGCTTTAAGGATTTTTGTTCTGTTTTTGAGGCAGAATCTCTGTCTGTCTATCTATCTATCTATCTATCTATCTATCTATCTATCTATCTATCTATCTATCTATC